TGTTTTTTTTTTTTTTTTTTTTTTTTAATCTGGGAAGCTCTTTATTTGACCGTCTATCTTGAATGATAGCCTCGCTGGATATAGTAATCTTGGTCTCAGAAGATCCTTGCTTTCCATTACCTTGAGTACTTCATGCCATTCCCTTCTGGCCTGTAGAGTTTCTGATGAGAAATCAGGTGTCAGCCTTATGGGAACTCCTTTTTAGGTAACACTTTTTTTCTTTTTCTCTTGCTGCCTTTAAGATTCTCTCTTTGTCTTTAATTTTTGGCATTTTTATTATGATGTGTCTGGGTGTGGGTCTGTTTGGGTTCTTCTTGTTTGGGTTTCTCTGTGCCTCCTGAACTTGTGTGACTTTTTCTTTTACCAGTTTAGGGAAGTTTTCTACAATTATTTCTTCAAACACCTTTTCTATTCCTTTCTCCCTTTCTGCCTCTTTTGGTACACCTATTATTCTAACATTGTTACATGTCACTTTGTCCCGCAGCTCCCTTAAGCTGTCCTCATGTTTTTTAATTGTTTTTTTCTTTTTGGTTCTCTAATTGAGTGATATTTTCAACTCTGTCTTCTAATTCACTGATTCGATCCTCACCTTCCCCTAATCTGCTGTGTATTCCTTCCAATGTGTTCTTTATTTGTGTTATGTCTTTCTTTATCTCAGACTGTTCTTTTTTCATAGTTACTATATCTTTTTTCATACTGTTGAGCATTTTAAAAATCATTACTCTGAACTCTGTTTCAGATAAATTTCTTATCTCTGCTTCATTTATCTCTTCCGGAGAATTCTCTAGTTCTTTCATTTGGGGGTTATTTGTTTCCTTATTTTGGTTGTCTTTCTGGGTTTGTGACTATGTATTGGATAGATCCTCCTACACCTCTCAGTCTCTAGTGCAGGACAGTGTTAAAGGCTGTTTCTGACTAATTGGATCAGGCAAAGATTCAAAGCCTGCAGAGACCACTTCTGTCTACAGACTAATAGGATTCTGGCTTGAATTGCCCCCAGGCAGTCATCCTAAGGTGTGGTGAGAGTTTTTTCAACAGGGTGGGGCAGTTGCTTCTGCCTAGAGGCTGTTACTTTTAATCTCTTAAGTGGCCTTAGGGCCAGGTGTTTTCCAATAGGGCAGCGGTTCTCAA